TTCCATCTGGCAGTGCAGCTCCCGTCTGCCTTTCATGGGTCCCAACAGAAGCCCAATCCTGTGGTTTGCCGGGAAGAAGGCTGAGGACCTGAGCCCAAACTTTCTCTTACTTAAAACTGCAAAGCTGGTGGTGGAAATGTAGACGAGAAGACAGGGTGGGAGGAGACAGAGGAAAACAATAGGGACGCCTCACCTCTGGTTGGTTGGAAAAATTCTAGAGGGGCCACATGTACTGCAGGGAGAGGTTAAAGTGTGTCTGCTCCTGGCTGCAAACAGGCCTATTAGGTTTGCTGTTAATAAATATGATGGAGCTGGGGGTGGGGGTGGGGTTCTTTTTAAAAAATAAAGCTTTGGTTAGTAAAGCCAGAATCTAGAGGGGGCTCTTTTATTTTCAACCCTGAAGAGTTTTTAAGAAAAAAGTCCACTCAGTATATTATCATTAGTACTAATATCATTTTGAAACTTTTATAAATAGAGAATAAAGCATGATTTTCAATGTATACTGAAATTCATCTAGAAATGAAAGAAGTTAAGAAAATCTGAATAAACTTGAACATTTTTTTCCTAAACAGAGGTACTCTCAAAAGCGAGTAATTTTACAATGTGAAAAACTTAACCCTACATTGTTGAGATGAGTAAAAATGGAACAGCCCTGAAAGGTGCACAATGCGTGTGTGTGTGTGTGTGTGTGTGTGTGTGTGTGTGTGGAGCTGGGCAAAGCAGTTTCCCCTTTCTTCAAGATTTGTTGATTTTCAGGGAAAATCCTAGCTCTAGGGGGTCGTTTCCGTATGGGAGAGCGACCCTAAAAAAGCAGTATTTTAATGCCAATCACTACAGTCACAGTTTATGAACCTGTAAGGGATCAAAACTAGGGACGGCAAAAAAAAAAAAAAAAACTAGGGACGGCAGAGTCCCACACAGTGCAGATCTGGCACGAGGCATGCTTTCTTATGAGTTAAGATGAGGCGGTGGTGTCGGGGTGGAGGGGGCTGGGGGGGGCTCTGGATTCCGGAGAATTAACAACGCCCCACGCCTCCCCTTGGGAAGGCCTTGGTGAAAGGGGAGAGAGCTGATTTCCCCACCCCGGCGCGCTCCTTCCCCCGCCCCTCACCGCCCCGCCCCCCCCCCCCCCCCCCCCCCCCCCCCCGACCAAGCATCACCCTCGTGACGCGCCTGCAGAGGCGCGAGGCCCCCACGAGCCTGGCGCCTTGACTGCCAGCGCGGGGGATCGGGCGGGGGCTGCGGAGAGGCCCAGGGCACATGACGGCTCCCCCGCTCCCCACCCCCGCCAAGAGCCGGCCCAGCACATGACCCGGGCCGGCCGGCGGGGTCCAGGCAGACCCGAGCCGCATCCCCAGCACGGACCATGGCCTCCCCGCGCCTGGGGACCTTCTGCTGCGCCACGCGGGACGCCGCCACGCAGCTGGTGCTGAGCTTCCAGCCGCGGGCCTTCCACGCGCTGTGCCTGGGCAGCGGCGCGCTCCACCTGGCGCTCGGCCTCCTGCGGCTGCTGCTCGGGCGCCGGCCCGCCGGCCCCGGGCTCCCCTCGGCCTCCCCGCCGGCCACGGCCCGCACCCCGGCCTCCGCCCGCATCCTGCGCGCCGCCGCCGCCTGCGACCTGCTCGGCTGCCTGGGTGAGGGCGCGTCCGCGGGTGGGGACCCGTCCGCGCGCGGTTGAGGGCGCGCTGCCCGCAGGTCGCTCCCGGCCGGGGGCGTGGATGAGCGCGCGCCGACCCCGCCTGGGACCTGGTCGCTGCGCGGGTAAGGGCGCCCGGCCCACGGGTGGGAGGGCCGAGCCGGAGGCGGCTCCCCAGGGTCGGGACTGGACGACCAGGGGACTCTGCGATACAACATGGTCGGTAAAAGTTCCTTAGGGGGACCGTTGGTTTTTTTGTTTTTTAAACAGTCTGATGTATTTGTTATTGCACTTACTAGGGAAACTTTAGACGGTGCTGTGAAGGAAAACCCAGAAAATACAATGCATCCCTAATTGTACCACTAGTGAGAGACTAACGGTTAATATTTCGTGCGCGTGTACAGACACACAAAATCGTTTCCAAAATGATTTAGCAGAATCAGGAAGAAACCCATATATATATATGTATATATATTACAATTTTATTTACTTACTTGTTTATTTATCTATCTAAGTTTGGGTTTTATACCACAGATGGGCAAACTTGCAGCCTTTAGGCCACATCCTGCCTGCTGTCTCTTATCTATGGCCCAGGAACTAAGAAAGTTTTTACATTTTAAAGTGTTTTTAGAAAAATCTAAAGAAGAAGACTGTTTCTGACATGTAAATATTCCATGAAATGCAAATGGCATTGTCCGTAAGTGGAGTCTTATGGGGATACAGCCATGCCCTGCACTTGTGCCTTGTTTGGGGGCATCTTGGCCCTAGAAGGGCAGAAGTGAGTGCTGAACAGAGAAACTATGGCCCATAGAGCCTAAGATATCTTCTCTCTGGCCCTTTACAGAGACTTTGCTGACCCCTGCTTTCAACTCTAGCATGGCACATTTTACAAACCTCTATGCTAGATATTGCCAAGCATTTTAACTTTTTTATTTTGGAAAATTTTTAACATATGCAAATGTAGAGAGATTGTATAACAAACTCCCTGTACCCATCACCTAGCTTCATCTATACTCCATCCCCGTATCCCACTCTCCACTGGAATAATTTGAAGCAGATTCCAGAATTTATATCATTTCACCCACACAAATCTCAATATATAGCTGTAGAAGATAAGAATTTTTAAAAAACATATATATCACACAGATATCATTATCACCCCAAAATAATGAAAACCAGTTCCTTAATATCACTGGTGTATGTTCAGGTGTCTCATAAATGCTATTTTACAATTGGTTTTTTCAAATCAGGATCCAAATACTGTCCATGTTTTGTAATTGGCTGACAGGTGCTGACATTTTGGAATTGTGTTTTTCAGTCATGTTTGCTCTTGAAGGAAAGGCTGCTGGTGGTATTTGAAGTGCCTTCCACCGCTGTGCCGTGAGGGGGTGGCAGCAGCTTCTGGGGCACCTTGAGTGCTTCTCTGGGCACAGGTGGCTGTGTGTCCCAGGGCCTGGTTCTCCTGTTCCTGGTTGTGTGATTGGAGACACTCAAGAATCTTGGCTTCAGATAAATGCTATGGAACCTCTAGTCACTTGCTTAGACTCGAGGAGTAAGACAGGAAGCTATAGCGATAAAATCAATTTGGTGCAGGACAATAAAATAAAAAATTGGTTTTCTTCCTGATGCTGCTAAAGCATTTTGGAAAAGCATCTTAATAATAATCTAGTTTCTGTAACTTGAATATCTGAAAATAGAGCTGCACGCAAACATCTTTTGAGGGTCAGCAAAATAATATTCGTATATCCTTTGGCCTTTAGAAGGAAGGTGCATGATATTGTGGGCAAATGGGCAGAAGCAGGAGTCAGGGGAAGGCTTGGTGACCAGACCTCCTCGCTGAAAAATAAGAAATACAGGGCTTCCCTGGTGGCGCAGTGGTTGGGAGTCTGCCTGCCGATGCAGGGGACACGGGTTCGTGCCCCGGTCCGGGAAGATCCCACGTGCCGCAGAGCGGCTGGGCCCGTGAGCCATGGCCACTGGGCCTGCGCGTCCGGAGCCTGTGCTCCCGTAAAAAAAAAAAAAAAAAGAAATACAGATGCCTATCTCACGGGGTGGTTTTTTTCCCCCAGTTTTTTTTTAAATATCTGTTTTTTTGGGGTTTTTTTTTGGCCACACCGTGCAGCTTGCGGGATCTCAGTTCCCTGACCTGGGATTGAACCCGGGCCACGGCAGTGGAAGCACAGAATCCTAACCACTAGACAACCAGGGAACTCCCTCCCCAGTTTTACTGAGACATAATTGACATATAGCACTGTATAAGTTTAAGGTGTACAGCATAATAACTTACATTTATCATGAAATGATTACCACAACAAGTTTAGTAAATCCATCACCTCATATAGATACAAAAAAAAAAACCAGAAGTGTTTATCGAGCTCAAAGCAGAGCTCTGGACTGAAAACAACAAAGCACTACGTGGCCGCAAAGCGTTATTTTTGTTATCTGTGCTTAAGAATGAGAAGTTATATCTTAGGCTTTTAGTGTTCATACTCACCCTTTTAGTGGTATATGACACAGTGTATATTTCTGTATGTGAAATACACACACAACACTAGTGTGTAACTCTGTACTGCTCACAGGTCCCCTTGAGCAGGGTGTTACATAGTGAATGCTTAAACAAAGGCTATCTATCGAATTACTTAACAGAGAACCCTAATATATGCCTTACGTGTGTATACTGTGTTGAGGAGAATTAGATATTTGGGTCAAATAGCAAGGAAAACTCACAAATAATAAATGGCAAAAGTAGATTATCAAGAGCTAATTTGTGAAAATCTCAAATGTATATTTTTTAAAGAATGAAAGAACTATCTTTTTAAACTTCAGAATGTGCTTTCTCAATCATTCTTTTTTATGTGAGGACTAGTTAACTTGGACATTAAAAACATAGTCAAGAAATATAAATTGTTATTCACATAATCACTTCTGGGTGCCAAATAAACAAACAGACAACATTAGGGACAGCACTGTGGCTAATGGTGGCTGAAGTTGAAATCAAAGTGCCTGGGATTGCTCCACTACCATAATAATTATTTTCTGAGTCTTATTTTATTCTCTGTCTCTCTGCACACACCAGCGTGTGTTTCTTTCCTCCCTGTCTCCCTCACATCTTTCTCTTTCCCTTCCTATCTATCTGTCTATCTGCCTATCTATCCATCCATCCATCCATCCGTCCATCCATCATTTTTTTTTTTTTTTGCTGTACGCGGGCCTCTCACTGTTGTGGCCTCTCCCGTTGCGGAGCACAGGCTTCGGACGCGCAGGCCCAGTGGCCATGGCTCACGGGCCCAGCCGCTCCGCGGCATGTGGGATCTTCCCGGACCGGGGCACAAACCCGTGTCCCCTGCATCGGCAGGCACACTCTCAACCACTGCGCCACCAGGGAAGCCCCATCCATCATTTTTACAGTCAACAAGTCACCTTTAGATTTGCATTAGGAGCAGATACAGAGCATCACCTGATTCTCCCTTAGGTATCACAGTCCGGTCTGCGGTGTGGTTAGGGTTCCCGAGTTTCGTGGACGACATCTCAGCTGTGAACGGGACAGACGTGTGGCCCACCGCCTTCTGCATGGGGAGTGCAGTAAGTGTACCTCCCCTGGTCTCCCCCTTCCCTCCCTTTGCCCCGCTCCGTTACGCTGTGTCCTCAAAGTGTGGTCGCATCCCTCCCACCAGCCCACTGTAGCTTTTAGAAATGCACACGCTCAGAGCCCTCACCCCACTGACCAGAGACCCTGGGGTGCGGGCCGTCTGCGATTTAAAAAACCCTCCAGGGGCCTCTGACCCACACTCCAGTTTTAGAACCACTGTGCTAGTATGTTTGCCATCCCCACACTTAAACACACATTCAATCCTTACCTTAGATCCATCCACAATCAAAACCAGCTGGGCAAAAAAAGAAAAAAAAAGTTATTTAATGGATGTATTTACTTAACAAAATATATATATATATATATATATATTTTTAACAAAATATATATTTAAAAATAGCAATTTGTTCATCCATATTGCTCTGTCCGCCAAGTTAACACTCCAGTGAATGACCTCAAAGGACACTAATACCCTGTTGACCCGCCATCTGTGCCACAACTGTCAGCATCTCTCCCTTCCTCCCCTCTGTTGCTTCCCAGCTGCATCCCGATGGAGCCTCCGTCTTAGTATATAGATCTCGTGCTGCTTCTAACATACAGAGTCCCCCCGCCACCGCCTTCCTTCTACTGGGAAGGTCCTTCCTGCCCATCCTCCTTGGTCCTCAGCAAAAGGGCTTCTGGTTCAAAGACCTTCATGCCAGGCCAAGCCGCACACCTGAGCCCTCTATCTCCCTGACCACAAGGGTAGCACAAGGCAGGGCTCACTGGACCCGGTGCAGCTGAGCAGACAGGGCACCAAGGCACACGCCCGTCCCAGGCCACATCCCAGCCTGGATTTCCAAGCCTCTCCGGAGGGCTTTCATGTGCTGCCCCGTGACGTCAGAGGAAGTGGGCGTCTGCCAGCTCATTTCACGGACGGGGCGGTCTGGAACCCATGTCCAGGAGCTTTGATGCCGGCTCTTCCCGATTACAGATGTGGATCCAGCTGCTGTACAGCGCCTGCTTCTGGTGGCTGTTTTGGTATGCGGTCGATGCCTACCTGGTGATCCGGAGATCGGCGGGACTGAGGTATTCAGAGCAAGCCGGCTGGCTTCTGCCCTAGTTTGTTGCCTGAGGGAAGGTTGGAGACACCGCTGAGTGCTGCATCTCTGTACGGCAGACACAGCTGATCACAACCTTTCAGCTGACCCCTCCACCGAGAAACATCTGTGCAGCTCATTTTTATAAAAGGCTGAAGGCACAATCGAAATATCGAGGATTTCTCCGGGTGCCCCCTACCAAGAAAAAAACAGGATTTTAAAACCCTGAAAACAGTATTTCAATAAATTAAATATTTGGAACACGACAAAGACAAAAAAAAAAAAAAAGAATTGGCATGAAAATAAAAAATTCTGATGGTGTCTAAAGGTTTAGGAGAAAAGTTCTTAGATGTATGTATTGATACAGGATGCTAAATATGGAGCCCAAGGGTTCTGGAGCTGCCAGGGGCTGCCTGGGAGGAACCGAGGAAGGGTTAGTGCCTTGGTCCTGGTGGGTTCAAATTCCTGCCCCATCACTCACTAGCTGTGTGACTGTTGGCAAGTGGCTGAACCTCTCTGGACTTCCGTTTTCTCAGCTGTAAAACAGTACCCACCTCAGGAGGTTCCTGGAAACAGTAAATGTGATAGTACCTGTGGATGGTTATGGATGGAGCCTGGCACGTAGCAGGCGCTCAGTAACTGGGAGCTGGGGTTGGAGCTGGGATGTGCATGTTATGGAGGAAACAGAAACACAGAGAACCTACGTGCCAAAGAGAAGCAGGAGGGCACGGCGGGTGTCCTGGTCTCCTGGCTCCAGGCCCAGGAAGGATGGGTCCCTGGCCAAGTTCGTGGTGCACTTCCATTAGGCCCCCTTTGCATGGAGCCCTTGTTTGCTTTTTTCTTTTTAAATAGCTTTATAAAGTTCATCTGTTTAAATGTATAAAATCCATTGTTTGTGAGCATATTCACAGAATTGTGTAACCATAACCATTACTTGGCTTTATGACGTGTTATTCATCCCCCAAATCTCTGTACTGGTTACTAGTCATTTCCCATTCTTCCCTCTCGCGCAGCTCCTGGTAACTTCACATCTACGGTCTGTCTCTGGATTTGCCTGTTCTGGACAGCTTCTGTAAATGGAATCACACAATATGTGGCGTTTTGTATCTGGCTGGTTAAACTTGGCCTGTTATTTTCGAGATTTATCCATATTGTGGCACGCATCAGTTCTTCATTCCTGTGCGTTGCTGAATAATATTCCGCTGTTTCGCTATCTGCCTTTTACCCGTTTATCAGTCACTGGACTTTTAGGTTGTTTCCATTGTTTTGACTGTTACGAATAATGCTGCAATGAATATTTGTATGCAGGTGTTTGTGTGGACATATGTTTTCGCCATATACTTATAGGTATACACCTTGGAGTGGAATTCCTGGGTCATATAGTAACTCTGTATAACCTTGTAAGGCACTGCCGAACTGCTTTCCAAAGACTCTGTACCATTTTACCTTTGCACCAGCAATGTGTAATGGTTCCAGTTTCTCTGCATCCTTGATAACAACACTTGTTTTCTGTGTGTTTGGTTTTTTGAGATTTTAGCCATCCTACTGTGTGTGAAGTGGCATCTCATTGTGGTTTTGATTTCCCTGATAACTATGATGTTTAGCATCTTCTCATGTGCTTATTGGCCATTCGTGTACTTTCTTTGGAGAAATATCTCCTCGCTTCCTTTTCCCAGTTTTTAACTGGGCTGTTTGTCTTTTTTATTATTGAGTTATAGGAGTTCTTTATATATTCTGGATACAAGTACCTCATTAGATATATGATTTACAAATATCTTCTCTCATTCAGCAGGTTGTCTTTTCACTTACTTGGTGGTACCTTTTGAAGCATGAAAGTCTTTAATTTTGATGAAATCCAGTTTTTGTGTTTTTTTCTCTTATTTCTCCTGCTTTTGCTGTCATCTAAGAAACCATTGCCTAACCCGAGGTCACAAGGATTTATACCTTTGTTTCCTTCTAAGAGTTTTATAGTTTGAACAATTTTATTTAGATCTTTGAATTAATTTATGTGTGGAGGTGAGGATAGGTCCGCCTTTATTCTTTTGTAGGTGGATATCCAGTTGCCCCAGCACCACTGGTTCAATAAATTCACTTTTAAAACCAACGTGAGTAACCAAATAAAGACCATATTAAGCTATAGACTACACTGGGCAATCTTAGTGAATCACCACTCTAAAATCCTTGGTATTCCTTACGTATATCACATCATCATTCACTTTGTCTCTCTGGCCTGAAATTTAGTACTCTCTTCATTTTTGCGTTTCTTTCTTCTACCTTTTTGCCTTAGTTCCCAAGCTCTTACACATCTGTACAAAACTGAGGTATACTTGGTTATGAAAATTCTGTAGGGAAGACAGTTAAGGTTAAAGGTTGCCAACCAGGTATATCAGTGAGAATTCGTTTTGGCTACATAAAATACATAAAACAATAGTGACTTAAGATAGGAATTTCTCTTTCACGCTAAAAGAGGCCAGAGGTAGGCAATCTAGGGCTCTTATGCTGGAAATCAGGGACCCAAGTTCCTTCTCTCTTTCTGCTCCACCATTCTATTATGTGACTTCCATCCTCAAGGTATCATGGCCCAGTATAGCTGCTGGAGCTCCAGTCATCACATCAGCATTCCAGAAAACAGGAAGGAGGTAGGGGGCAATGCAAAAGGGGCTTGTTGTCCCCTGAGCCAGATCCCTTTAAGCAGGGACCTGTTTTAAGCAGGCCTGCTGTCCATGGGAGTTTTACACAACAATAACATTTTCATGTTACTGGCCAGAACTTAGTTTTCTGTCCACACTTAGCTGTAAGAGGAGGTAGGAAATACAGTTGATTATCCAAGCGTGCTGCTGCTCTGCCTGACATCCAGGTTCTGTTGCTAAGGAAAAAAGGGAGAATGACTTTGGGTAGGCAGCAAGCAGCATGAGGAGACCTTGTTCCAGAAGCTGAGTGCAAGTGGGATGGTTCCCTCACTCAAGTTTGGGAGGGATCGGAGCTATGACACAATTAGAGGTCTCATAGACCACCACTCAGTTGTGGAGATAAGAGGAACCTTGGAGCACCGAACAGAAGCTAGAAGAGTATGTCTCCTGCTGTCATAGGAAATGCACCTCCACCCGTGAGGGACTGGAGTTGGACAGGGCTGAGTGACAGCTCTCTGGACCCGGAGAACAGACAGAGCCCTCAGAAGCCAGGACAGGCGATCAGGAAGCCCTCCTCACACCCCGGCGGGTGTTTGGAAGTCATCTTGGAGCTTGGCGTTAGGATAGGCAGAAGTCTGCGGATGTGCAGGGACTAGAGGACGCCAGGCTTCTGAGGACCCGTGCATCGAACAGGAGGCCGCCCTCCAGGGATGCCAAACACCCAGATGCCTCCCAAGGGCAGGGTTCCAGGGCTAGGAAGACCGTCGGCGGTGTGGTGGGCTCTCCCATCAAAAAGGAGCGGGCACACAGCAGAGAAATAAGACGGGTGCTCTCTAGCCACGGAGACCCAGCCCCAACCTCGTCCCTAGCACAAGTCACGCTTCCCAGGGTGAGGTCTCCGAGGGGCCAGCCCTGGGTGATTTAGAGCCAGAGCTGAGTGTGTGGGTCCAGAGCCTCTGGAGCCCCTCTCTGAATCGCCAGCTTGTTTGCAGAGCCGAGGGCGGAGTGGATGCTGTAGGTGGCAATGAAGAACCTGCAGCTGGTGGAGAGGGGTCCCGAGGAATTCCCAGGCAGGGGGCCAGACTCCTCCGGTATGGCTGGATTAAACTCCACATTCCCTTCTAGATCCTTCCAGCATTTAGCTGTTTCCTTTGGCGCGGGAGAATTTTCCCTAAGCAATGTCATTAAAGCAGATTGAAAGTTAACATGTAAACTGCCTCTTGGGCTCCAGGTGCGGGAGACGCACGTTTTAGCCATGCCGGCCGGCACCTGAGAACCCGGGAGAAGCTCTGCTTGCCCTAAGAAAAGGGGAGTGTGCGAGCAGAGAGGGTCTGGGGGCGGGGGGGAGGTGGTCTTCGCGTGTCTGCACGTGAAAACTGGCTTGACGTCAGAAAAAGGGATGAGGGTCTTCAGCCGGGGTTGCTCCGGATCGATCCGCCACGGCCACATGGGTGTGGCTTTCTGGCTGTATCGGTTATTGACGTGGCCGCGGCCTGGGTCCCGTGGCCGGCTCTGACATCCCCCCCTCGTGGGCGTTTGGGGCCGAGGGGAACCGAGGGCCGGGCTTTGGGGAGCGCGAGCTGGCCTCGCCCTCCCACCCAGGAGATGACCCCAGCGGCTCCCTGCAGCCCAGGCTTGGCGTCTGGAACGCAGATGCCACCCTGCCACAGACCAGCCCCTGCGCAAAGCTGCTCCTTAGTTTCCTGAGTGTCCGGCAAAGCCTGTGACTTGTGGGCAGGACAGACCCCCGCGCGCTCCCAAAGCCGGACGGGCAGGGAAGGGCTGCTCCAGAACCAGCAGTGCCAGGGGAGGCGAAGGTGCAGCCGCGTCCGCCCAGTGGGCCAGCTGTGCAGTTTTTCCTCCCTGAAGCATGCCCTCTGGGCCATCTCTCTTCCCTCCTGTCTCCTTGCAGAAGGGCGTCCTTCACCGCATCCCTGACCACGCCCTTTGTCCCCACGGCGGGTCCGCAGCGTTAAAGTCCTGATGGGCCAGGGGCTGCACCCTCTGCCAGGCGTCTGGCAGAGGGTTTTTTTTTTTAAATTTATTTTATTCATTTATTTTTGGCTGCGTTGGGTCTTTGTTGCTGCGCGTGGACTTTCTCTAGTTGCAGCGAGCAGGGGCTACTCTTCGGGCTTCTCGTTGAGGTGGCTTCTCTTGTGGCGGAGCTCGGGCTCTAGGCGCGCAGGCTTCAGTAGTTGTGGCACGCGGCCTCAGTAGTTGTGGCGCACGGCCTCAGTAGTTGTGGCGCACAGGCTGAGTTGCTCCGCAGCATGTGGGATCTTCCCGGACCAGGGCTCGAACCCGTGTCCCCCTGCATTGGCAGGTGGATTCTTAACCAGTGCGCCATCAGGGAAGTCCCATCTGGCAGAGTTTTGAGTAGCAGTGGGCACCTCTGAGGGAGCAGCCCCGGGCCACGTCCCATTGCACAGAAGAGGCAAACAAAGGCTGTCTTGGAAGAGCGAGGTAGCTCTGCACGGGCTCAGGTGGTCCATCGTCCTGACCCCACCTGCAAGGCTGGCTGCCTCGAATCTCTCAGGGGGACAGGGTGGGGTGTGTGGGAGTACAGAGGTGAAGGAGGGAGATGGTAACGATGAGAGAATTTGAACTATGCAGGGAATGGGGGGTAGGGGGACAAGATAGGAAACCTCCCCGCTGTCCTGGAACGTCGAATAACGACCCATTTCTTAGAGACCTTCTTCTTGGTTTGGACTGAGCATTAAGACGCTTGCATATTAGGTACGGAGGTGACTTCAGGAAGGACAGAGGCCAGGAGTTGCTTGCCTACTGGGGGAGCCAGGCACTTAGGAGGAATTATGAGGTACCCGTGCCTCACTCCTCTCAATCTTTTATTTATTTATTTAGTTAGTTAGTTGTGCCAGGTCTTAGTTGTGGCAGGCAGGCTCCTTAGTTGCGGTCACCTGCTCCTGAGTCGCGGCATGCGCGCTCCTTAGTTGCAGCAGGCAGGCTCCTTAGTTGAGGCATGCAGGCTCCTTAGTTGTGGTATGCAAACTCTTAGTTGCAGCATGCATGTGGGATCTAGTTCCCCGACCAGGGATAGAACCTGGGCCCTCTGCAGTGGGAGCGTGCAGTTTTAACCACTGTGCCACCAGGGAAGTCCCCTCCTCTCAATCTTGAAAGGCTTAGGTTGAGGGAAAGAAGCCAGACACAAAAGGCCACGTCGTGTGTGACTCCCCTTGGATGAAATGTCCGGAATAGGCAAATCCATAGAGATGGATGGTAGATGAGTGGTTACCAGGGCCGGGGGCACAAGCATGATGGGGAAAGACCACTGAATGGGTCCGGGTTTCCTTCTGGGGGATGAACATGTTTTGGAACTGGATAGAGGGGGTGCTTGCACGGCACCGTAGATGTCCTAAATGCCGCTGAGTTGCTCATTTTAAAATAGTGAGTTTGATGTTATATGAATTTCACCTCAATCAGAGGAAAAGTAAAAACCTCACAGGCAAAATCAGGCAGCTGTTTGGCAAGGGTTTGCTCTGTGTGCATCTTCCTGCCGCTCGCGGAGCTCGGGGCTTGTTCAGTGCTGGACCTCAGGCGTGGCCGCCCCTCTGCCCCTTCTTCCCCCAGTACCATCCTGCTCTACCACATGATGGCCTGGGGCCTGGCCGCACTGCTCTGCGTAGAGGGAGCATTCATGCTGTACTACCCTTCCGTGGCCAGGTAAGCCGGGGCTCCCAGCAAGCCCACTCCCCCGACGCCTGGACGCCCCCCCCCCCCCGCCCCCCCCCCCCCCCCCCCCGCCTCTCTTGCAGGAGACGCCCGGGCACTGACCCCGAGCGGGCGGGCAGGCCATCGTCCTGGATCTGTGCAGCTGAGAGCACAGTGGCTGGCACCTTGAGTTAGCGTCCCTGCCTCTGCCTGTCCCGTGCGTGTGGGTCGGTGTTGTGCACGGTGTGGATGCAGAGCTGGGGGCACGGCTCCCCCGTACCAGCCTGTGTGCCAGCCTCCAGGCCTGTCCCCCTCCAGACGGACGCAGCCTTCCCCTGCCCACTGTTTATTTTTCATTCTTCAAACCAGCTTCCTCTGGGCGAGCAGGTGAGTTGAACGTCCCAAGAATGAGTTGGAGATGGCTGGAAGACACAAAGGGTCGCTCGCTCTTGACGAGCTTATTTTAAGCCTCTGCTGTCTGCACTTTCTCACCTCTCTCCATCCTGCGCTGTTCTGAACACAGACACTGGGCGATGTGGCCTCTGAAATTGTCTCAGGCATTTCTTCAAGTTTAAAACCCCATCAGTGCAACCATTTGTAAAGCCTCAAGGTCCCTCCAAGGATATATACTCTAATTTTCAATGGAAAGCTGAAAAACAGAGGTTGGACATTGTCTCTTTGTCTGTGATTTCAGGGCAGTGTACACCCGGGATCAGCACAGCGCAGCCCTCAGTACAGATCCGGCCCTCTGCCCTGCTCTTGTAAATAAAGCTTTATTCGCACACAGCCGTGCCCATTTGTGTATGTATGGTCCATGGCCAGTTACACATTAGAGCTGAGTAGTCTGACAGAGGCTATGAGGGTTCTGGAGGCTAAAATATTGATTATCTGCTCCTTTACAGAAAAAGTTTGCTGACCTGTGGTGTAGACCGCTTCTGCCCCTTCTTTTTCGATTTCTTGTAGCCACTCACTCAGATGTCTCCACATTGGTGTTGCTTTGTGGCCTCTGTGTAGATCCCTCCAAACAGCCCACTCTCTCCAGGAACCCTAAAAGGACAAATACAGAGTTAGCAGCTGTTACAGAGGGATGCGCTTAACTGGAAAGGGAGTTTTTATCTCTGGCCTCCACCTGTGAGATCCTGGGGACGTTGCGTCTGAGTGCGAGGGAGCCATTGCTGCAAGGACACTCAGGAACGCCAAGGTGCCCCGCGGTCTCCACGAGGCCGCCCCCCTGAAGCATCTCCATCCTTCCTCATATCCATCCTCAGAGCCCACGACGACCCAGAGCCCTTGGCGCTCTGCAGGCTCCCACCCTCTCTCGTTTGTTCCTTACGTTCAGTACAGGCACCCGAATCTCATCTCTTCCCCCTCTTGTTTCCCTTTCTCCCCTCAAGCCCTTCCAGACCACAGTTTAGCTTTCACAGCTGAAGAGGAAAGCTTCTGTTAAAAAGGAGGTAGCAAAAATAATAATAATAATAAAATAAAAGAAGGTAGCAACACAACATTGTAAGTCAACCACACTCCAATAAAATACGGCTTTCAGGGTAAAAAACAAAACACGCAAACAAAAAAACAAAAAGAAGGCACCATCCTCAGGTGGTACTGTCATCCTTAAGGCAACAAAGATGGGCACTGCATTTTTCTTACCTGTTTCCATGCACTTTCAGCCACTTTCCCCTCTGGTGTGAGCCCTTCATACATATGAAAACGAGAGCAGTAGCATTTTTATCACTCCACCTTCCGTGGCCACAGGAGCTGTTTCCTCCTCTGCTTTTCCACCCCGTCTGGGGTCGGGCCTGGGCAACATCCCCTCTGCTTTGGATTCTCTCTTCCTCTTTGCCATTTTCCTCTACACTATGTATTTGTTAACTGATAGCCCCGGCCTTGGTAGCATACCTGTGTGTGGCACCCCACCGTGTCCTGTGGTGATGGATGATTCTCAAGACCCATCAGTAGAAATCCGGGTCCACCTCCCCGAAAAGAACCCCTGAAATGATTACCTGTCACCATGACAACAGATATCCTGTGCAGTGTGAGGCTTGGGTATTTTGAGTTGGTCGAGGACAGAGCTTGGATCCTATGCGTGATGTCAGCCAGGCTTAGCACATATGTAGTAAGTGCTGAAAACCCAGCAGGTTCGTAGAACGCCTTTGTCTTGTTTGAAAGACAAGTAGGGGGAGACCCACTTGTTTGAGAGACCCAGTGGGGGAGTTGGGGGGGGATCCACCACCCCAGAGAGCCTTTTCCCCTCTTCACCTTTTCCCAGCAGGGAACTTTAAAAGCTCCCTGATTTACGAGACACACAGAACCATGACTGATCCTCCTTCTTCTGTGATTTATCGCTTGTCCGCAGACGTGAGATATGAGTCAGGTTTCCTTCGGGCACAGTCAGAAGTCGATCTGTGTGTTTCCTTCGATCTGGTCCTCTTATCTCGACTTGCAGATAAGTCGGCGTATCTCAGGCAAAGCCCCGGTTTTTTTGGAGAATGACCCGGCTTTCCTCCCTCAGGTGTGAGAGGGGTCTGGAGCACGCCATCCCCCACTATGTCACCACATACTTGCCTCTGCTGCTCGTCCTTGTGGCCAACCCCATCCTGTTCCGAAAGACAGTGACTGCAGGTAAACCCAGGGAAGTGCTCTGGGGGCGAGGCCGAGGCTACGGCCCCAGGCCACGGGCTCTGATCATTATCTAGGACCACGGACCTCATTTGTCATCCTCCAGACAGGAGCACAATACAGCTGGGGAAAGTGAGGGGGTTTAATAAACGAGAGGGAGCGAGCCTACTCAATTATGGGCTGTCCGGGTCCTTGGCCAACATCTGCTAGCTCAAAGCCGGGACCAGGGGACGTTTCACTTCTGTCTGGGCTCATTCTGAGTCTGCCATTGGCGTGCCCCAGAGGACCCGAGTGGCCTTGGAAAACTGCGGAGGGGAGACGGGATCAGGAAAGGAAAGGGCAGCCGAGGGGAAGGGAGGGATGTGGACTGAGCCGTCCTGGGAGCCTGGGCCCTCCCCGTGATGTCTGGGCCTGTGTCTTCTCCCACTTGGGCAGTAAACAGGAAGGAGAGCACAGGAAGTGAGTCAAATGCATCAGGAAGAACTGGGTGAGAGGGATCTTGTGAGTCAGCAGAATGCACTGGACAGACCTCCGGGCCAAGGCAGGGGACCTGCATTCCAGCCCCCATCCCATCCTCAAGGAAACGTGCCCCGAGGCAAGTCTCCAGGCCCCCTCATGCCGCCCTGTGGGTCCCTCACGGGCAGAATGAGAAGAAAGAAACACACCTTAACAGAAAGGTCACTTGATGATCAGCTGTGGGTTGTAGAACTTTAACCTAAGTGAAGTGCTCTACCACTAGGGAGAGAAAAATCACTGCAGCTCTTTGGATCTCTCTTTGCATATCTGCATTTAAAACTAGTGTGCTGTACACATGAAACTAACACAACATTGTAAATCAACTCTACGCCAAGAAAAATTAAAAACAAAAAACCCCTCCCCCCAAAAAACTAGTCTATTAAATATAGCTTTTTTTTTAAACAAAATTGCATTAAAAAATAGTGATTTGATTACATCAAACAAATGAAAATGACTTACAGAAAAAAGACTGGAAGGAGATACACTAAGATGCTAATGATGGTTGTCTCTGGGTGAACTATGGGTTATCAATTCTTTTCTAAACTTTCTTATATTTTCCAACTTGTCTACAAGGATAAATGTCAAATCTTTCAACATTTTAAAATAGTGAGCATGCATTATTTTTATAGTAAAAAATATAAACCGTAAACAAATATAGTTCCCGAACTAGTAAAACCCAGATAAAATCCAGAGCGTAGTTAACAGCGCTGTACCAGTGTTGATTTCTTCACGGTGGCCAATGTGACTATGGTTGTGTAAGATGTTAACTCTGGGGACAGCTGGGTGTAGGTAGACGGGAACTCTCGGTACTGTCTTTGCAAATCTTGTGTAAATCTAAAGTGATTTCATAGTAAACGTTTAAAAACTCTATATTCCCGTGAGTCTCCGAGAAGTCCCACGTGGAGGTGGTGAGGAAAGCACGGCCCGGTCTTGCTGGGCGTCACGCTCTCCTGGCTGTGCTTCGGAGCTCCCACCTGCTTTACTGCCCTTCCTTTGCACGCGGGAAACGTAAATAACGAAATGACGTGCTGTTTGTTCCCCTCTGCTCTTTACAGTGGCCTCTTTACTAAAAGGAAGTCAAGGAGTTTACACGGAGAACGAGAGGCGGATGGGAGACGTGATCAAGACCCGATTTTTCAAAATAATGCTGGTTTTCATTACTTGGTAACCTTTCTTCTTTTTTTAAAACTGTGCCTGGGAAGGGAAATGCAAACCGCCTGTCATTTGCTTTTCCAAGTGTGACCTGAAAGTTCCAAAGGGAAGAGTCTTTGGAGAGGAAATTTTTGAAACTTGTGCTAGGTGCCTTTGGAGGAAATGCTTGCGAGACAGGAAGGCAAGTCTACCATCCGTGAACTTCTGGAAAGCTATTCACATCTACTCAAACTACATAAAGAGCCCTCAGAACGAAAAGTCCCGAGTTTAGTTTTGATGCATCCCACCCATATGCCTCCGGAGTTTTGCCCCATCGCTGAGGTTAACATTTAAATCAAGTGCCTTCTAAATCCACCCATTGGCAGCAGGCTTTTTTTCTTTTTTTTGCCACGCAGCATGTGGGATCTTAGTTCCCCGACCAGGGATCGAACCCACACGTCCTGTAGTGGAAGCGTGGAGTCCTAACCACTGGACCACCAGGGAAGTCCTTGCATCAGTCTTGACACCAGGATTCCTGTATCTGACAAGATACAAGGGCAAGGGCCCATCTTTAGTGTTATGACTCACTGCTCAGGCAAGAAGGGTAGAGTGGGACTTCCCCGGCAGTCCAGTGGTTAGCACTCCACGCTTCCACTGCAGGGGACACGGGTTCCATCCCTGGTTGGGGAACTAAGATCCCACAAGCTGCGTGGCACGGCCAAAAAAAAATAATAATAAAAAAGCAATCTTCCTGTAGAGAAGCAATCTTCCTGTCCTCAACTGTCCACCCCCCCCCATTCCCCCCCCCCCCCCCCCTCCCACCACAGGTGTCCTGCCCCAGCGTTTCAAGTGGGTGTGCTGGGCATAGACCTGTGACCAATGCAAAATCGACTGGAATCAGGAAACACTTCGCTGTGGTGAAGCAACGCTTCGCAAGACAGAGCACGCCTTTGTGGTGTTAATAATTGATGTGATGTGAGCAGGTTTGTTTGCACAGTCTCCTACGAGAGACGTAAATTAGCTCCCTCTAAAAATACACTGAGCTTGTGGTTTCAAACGTCACCTCCCTGCCAACAATAACCTCAAAAAATTCAAACATAAAATGTCAAGATTTGTTTTGGTCTCCATCAAAACATTAGCTTACTCTTCAGAGGAAGGATGAACTCTGGGTTATTTGACATGTGCTAGAACCTTCCGCCTGATGTGGTGTTGAGTGCGCCCATCAGAAGGATATGTTGGTCTCTGCTTTGGGCTGAGAGCGGTGGCATGTCTTATGTCAGGTTCTTGGTGTGCTGCATCCTCCTTGCTGCCAAGCAGGCACTGCCCCCGCCCCAGGACTTCTAGGTCTCGGGAGGCATGGTCCCTGACCCCCAGCGTTAAAAATGAATTATGGGGGCTTACCTGGTGGCGCAGTGGTTGAGAGTCCACCTGCCGATGCAGGGGACACGGGTTCGTGCCCCGGTCCGGGAAGATCCCACG